CTACCTAGAGGCTGCAGGAGCTCTCAGCCTTGCCCTGCCCCGACGCTAGCCAGATTTCATGGGGGGTAGATCAGATTTCATGGTCCATGCTGCGTTTTTTACAGATGTGAATTTGGTAGGGCCCTCGTTGTTGTGTGAGCGCTGGGGAAACTTTTTTTCCCCCTGACTGTCCCCTAGCTGAGCTGAAAATTAACTGAAGCCAAAGTCTAGGGTTGAGATGAGGAGCAACATGGATCGAGAATTCTCACTCCCTTCCTCTTCTTCCGCCCACTGCAGCTTCTCCTCCATCATGCACGAAACAGTGAAGCAGCTGTCCCCGAAGTGCGACGTGACCTTCCTCCCATCAGAAGACGGCAGCGGCAAAGGGGCTGCGCTCATCACGGCGGTGGCGTGCCGGATTCGGGAGGCCGGGCAGCGATAAGAGGGAGTGTCTGGAAGGCTTGGCTTTAACAGAGCAAACCAGCGCACCCCTTTTCACCCCTCCACACACCCTCCTGCTGCTCCTCACAAGCAGACTCTTAGCTTTACTTGGACCACTGAACCCTGGGATGCTGTGCGTTCTACGTTCTTTTCTTAGGAGTTCTAGTGCATGCCATAAACCCACATATCAAGTAAAGCTAACAGTGTCGTTTGGCCGTGTAGCTACATTTCCGGTCAAAGCCCTTCTAGTTCCACCGCAGCCTATTTGAAATACTACATTTCCCTCCCCAGCGGTGTTTGTTCTGTAGTAGTAGAAGGATAATGCTAGAGCAATTAAGACACTGCATTGTCACTTTGCTAGCAAACAGTACTTCCTTGTATATGTCCAAGTCTTGGTATCATCACACTAGAGAGCAAAACCTCCTTTAAGATTGGGTTAAAGGCTTCAGCTAGTCTTCTACCCTGATCAAGGCTGTGTTATTTCCATGAAAGTCATGGTCATTCTCAAAAGCACAGGGTGCAGAATTGAAACCAGTGCATTTGAATCTGTGCCGAAGGATACAAAGTGTCCGTACCGAGCGGTGAGTAATATTAAAGTACCTGCTAGAACGAGTTAAAGTTGTTTCTTTAACGTGACCAGCAGAGCATGTGCCTGGAAATACCTGGGGATTCAGGGTCTAGTCCCACTTTTTCCCCAGCTTCTTCATCCCTAACTTAAATGTTGTAGTTGTCTCGCATAGCCATAGTGCATGCGTGCATAGAAAACACCATCACTTGAATGGTTTATCTTCCACAAACGTGTAAACACTGTGCCCTCACCTGATGTGGTGCATTTGGTTTTATTTTTGTCTGTGAACTAACTCTGAATCTTTATTTGTAACCCCCCTCCCCCGTATAGGTCCCATCTGGATTTATGCACTGTATTTATGTATCAAGATAGCTGGTGTCTTTATGTATATAGTCCCCGGATGGGGAGTGGTTATTCATTAGCTTCCTTTATGTGGCTTGAGAGAACAGCGCAGGAAGCTCGTTTGTTATTATTTAAAATAACGTTCTGGGAGCAGAAGGGAAGGGTTGACACTTCTGAGGACAGATGGGGAAGGGAGTGCCGTCATTTCAGGTATTATATAATACCAGGAGTATAAAAGCCATGTATTGAATGCACCAAAAGAAATAGCAGCGGGCATGGAACAAATTAATTTATTTGTGTAAGGGTGTGATCTTGCGACTTCTGACTCGTGAGAAATCACACCCCGTTGAGGCTAACACGGTCTTAATGCTTCATAGACTGAAGTCACTGGCAAAATTCCCATTGGCGTGAGCAGTGTAGGAGCAGGTTCACCGTTTACTCTCTGGAGTAAACCAGGATTGGGCCTTCCCTGTTTCTTATCTAAAGGACTCAACATTGTATTTTGCAAATCTGTCCTATTCTTATCCCTTTGACAGCAACTGGAGTTTTACTATTGATTCAAACAGACGCGTTTCTTACAGGCCTCCGTCCCAGTCCCACAAACAGAGGCACGAGATTGTGTTTTGCTTGGAAACATGTGTGTTGATAGCAGCACTCACATGCTTCTAGTGTGTGTAGGGGCAGGAGCCCGGGTTACTAGTGGCAAAGAAAGAAAGGCAATTTTTGTCATGCAAAATTTCAAAATCCTTCTGGTTTTCCAAATTGGCACCCCCAAAGCAAACAGAACTGTCCTCATCACTCTGCTTTTCCTGAGAGTGAAACACTTCGCCAACAGAAAACTGTTCAGATAAATTAAAGTCTGCAACTTCTTGTTTCCAAAATTAGCAAATTCATTCACAAAATGTGTGTGTGGAGGAGGGCATGGCATAAATGTTTTTGTAACTAGTTAACACAAGGCAACACATGTCTGGTGGTCTACACATAAAACCCTCAAACTGGCTGTCAGTTTGGAGGGCTATAGATTTGTGTGTGTGTATTTTTGGGGTATATTTTTATACTACTTGAGGTAAATTCTTCACTGAAAAAAAATCTACATTCTAATAGCACCATTTTAAAGCACATAGGGGGTGGGGAGGGGAGGGTCTTGGCATTTTAAATGCTTTTTTTATAAGCCGCAAGATTACAATATAAAATAAATGGGGGAAAAACAAAATTTATGTTTAGCAATAATGTAAGAGAATCATTCAGTTTAATAGAAATTTTAGATGAATTTAAATCAATTAACTTTTTTTTTGGTTAAAGCGCAATAGAAAATGGTCTAATCCAATACCAAGCAGTTGTGTGTGATTCTTTTACTGGGAAGACTAGTAACTGCCTATTAATCAGAGCATTTTGGCTTTGATTCTATCTTCCATACAGTGGAGAAGGTTCTAGCTGGAGGGGAATATTTCTAAACTTGAAGATAAGGGACTGTCCCTGATGTACAATCCACTAGTCGCTCATTGTGAATGAGTTCACTTTTGTCACAGATGCTTTCTTCGCAGTCCGTGACGGGGGTATGAAGCAATCCCTTTTGGTAGCTGATTTGGGGTCTGGTTCAGCAAAGCTCTTGGACACATGATGCAAGGGCTATAAGCACATGCTTAAAGTTAAATGCATGCTTAAGTGCTCTGCTGATTCAGGGGCTCGGCAGCGTTGGTTTTCCCCCTTTCCTTGCAGTGTAGTGGGCCGCGACTGTGCTAAGTGTGTGTTAGTGCCACGCTGGCTCTGGGCGTTAATGATCCCGTTGGAGCTAGTGGCCTTGTCAGTCGTGTGAGCAATAATACAAGGTGCTCACATCCCTCTCTGAGCTTTCTTGCCTGGGCAAGCGAGTATTTGTGCAGCTGGTGGGATTTCTTCCCGGGTAGGCTCTGAGCTTTGCAGAGAGGTGGGAGCAAAGCATTTCCATCTGGGAAATCTTATTTTAAAATCTCCAAGCTGTGGGAGGCCGAGCCAGACTTTCTCGAGGTTGGAATGCCCATCTGCTTGCCCAGTTACAGAGCAATGGGTTGGGAAGGCCGTCTGCAAACTTCCCCAAACTTGGGATCTGGTGTTGATGGTTTAGGGCAGGGGTGGCCAACCCACGGCTTGTGAGCTGCATGAGGCTCTTCATTGCAGAAAGTGCGGCTCACAAAGCCACCCCTGTGCCCCTACAGAGGGACCCCGGTTCCCTGTGCTCACCGGGTGCAGGGGAGCCGTCCCATGCAGCGAAGCAAAATGGTGCTGGCAAGATGCCGTTGACTGACGGGAGCCAGATATGGCCAAAAAACAAACAAACTGGAATTTTCATTTAAAGGAACAGCGACCTTTTTTTAACTAACTTTTTTTCCCCTTGGTTCTTTGCGCTATGTCCACCACTATTTTGGCTCTTTGCCTGTGACGGGTTGGCCACCCCTGGTTTAGGACCCGTCTTTCTTAAAAACACTGCCTGTTTATACCTTCTTGTACAGCTTCTTTGGGATGCACTTGAATTTAGCTGTCCACTTGGACTCAGATGCAAACCTGATTCTAACTTGTTCACATAAAAGAAAAATTATACTTGAAACATACAGATCATCTCCAGACCATGTAACTGCAAATCTGCCTTTGGCATGTGGCTTAGTTGCACCTATTCAGAATGTTTTCTGTTTGCTTTAAGAGTATAGTGTGTATACCTTTCTGTATCGAAAGAGAAAGCATCGGTGCATGTAGAAAGCTGCTGTCTTACCATTACTTCCAGCTTAGGAGCTAGGAGAACCTGATTAAGAATTTATAGCTGATGGCAGGTTTTTCAGGGGGTCGTTGTTCTTGGTTCAGAAGCTGGCTGGTGTGAAATGGAACTCAGACCTATAACAAAGCAGGATTGTAACTTCTAAACCAGAAATTACAATGGGATGTTATTTTTAACGTGTGTCAAAATGAGAACGGCAGATCAGATCATGTAGACAGGCATTGATTCTCAACACTGCTCTCTTTCCTCCAGGAAGAAAATGTTGTGATGCGTTTCAGGATGGGTTTTTCTGTTCCCTTTAAGATGTATGTTCTTTGTACTCTTTGAAGTAAAGTTTATTCACTTGGCTGGTACCTTGGATGAAATTTGTATTTGGCAAACTTTTAAAATGTTGTGCGTGGTAGGGAAAACCGTAACACACACATCTAACCTAGATGCAAATTATTGTGAAATTTGCCTTTAAGTAACTTAATGTTCCCTCTAATTGTTTCCATCCACGTACAGATTCTTTTCCATCCATGTGTGGAATAATTTTTTGTGTGTACCGAGGCATGTGCAAGTGTGCAACACCAGTAGAAATGAAAACCTCACTGAGGGTGCTCTGCTAATCAGCTGGGCAGTATTTATATCTTTCCTGAGTGGCTGCACAAGTACACAGCTTACTGGGGACACAGCTGATGTCCAATAAGTCACTAACTGGTAATAAAACATTTGAGAAGCAAACCAGTCCAGTGGATAATAGGACTCAGAAGACCTGGGTTCTTGTCCCAGTTCAATCACTGATTCTTTGCATAAGCTTCTCTCAAGACATACTGAATACCTCCACAACCCCAACTGGACTCAGCTGGCTTTGTGGATGTTCAACCCCTTCAAAAATTAGGTACTTAAAAAAAAAAAAAAAAAAACTGCTTCATTTTCCCCATCTGTAAAATGGGGGTAAAATTCTTAAACTTTGGTCAATAGATTTTTGAGATCTATGGGAGCAAAGTGCTAACAAAAGAAAGAAGCATCATTATTCTTTATTGCTTTAAAGCCATCGTTAAAGATGGGAGTTGCCTTTGAGAGGTGACCGTGTGTTGCAAGATACACAGTATATTTC